CACAAAAAGTGAAGGGAAGGGAACATGATCTCCTCTTTGCTTTCCCCTTCAAATATTGTTTCTTCTCTTCTTCTACCTTCCTGCCAAAAAAAAAAGAAAATGTCACAACTCAAAAAAGTGTCCATTTTGGATGCCTTAATTTTATTACTACATACTCTCTAGTCTCTCCTTTTATCTTCTTTCATTTTCTTTTATGTACTTTTCAATTTGGTCCATTCTTCCCTTCTTCTTTTTTTTAATCTCACTCATTCATTTTGGATCCCATCAATTTTCTTAATAAATAGCCAATAGCTTTGACTTCACCATGCGTGCAAAGCAATGATGTGAATTTGTATACATTACTGTTGGTAAAAGAGTAGTTACATTGTCCAACAAAATCTGATCAAGAATAATATGTATAACTTCATTCTAAATAACTTGTTAATCGCGAGTGATATGATTTCTTAATATAGTCCTATAACGTGTCTTATAAATAAGTATTTTAGAAAACTAACATTCAAGTATTCCATCCATAAAATAAAAATAATATACTAATACGAGCTTCCTTCTTTTTTCAAGCAACCCGATTGTGTTTTCATATCTAAAAAAAAACGGTAAATAAATATTCACTGCATCTATACTCTTAAGTGGTGTATGTATCCAATTAAGTTTCCTCTGTTGTGTATAAAATTTTTGGTGTTACATAAACATCTGGTATTCGAGTACTATATGTGAACTTATGTGGAGATAAAAAAATCCCAAAATTTAGATGTATTACATATGAGAGCCCAACAAATATCTGGCTCCGCCGCGACATGTACCTTCTTACAACTCTCATTCATTGCAAATCATAGCATAGGAAATGCACATGTGTACTAAAAAACTGAAGTCACATTCACTCGCTTCTTACCTTTCAACTACTTTCGGCATTTGTACTAGCAAATAGTGTGGTGTTCTATCTTCACTCATTTCTTCAACTTCCACCAACCTTTCATTCTACACAGCTTCATTTCATATGCTCTCATCTTCCAAGCCTGTCTGGTTCGATAAGGAACCTCTTAAAATTTTGTGGTGTATGCCTAATTAATGAGACAGAAAGGTGAAGGAAATAATGATAAGAGTTGATTTCCTTCAAAGCGGCCATTAGATAGGTTCATCAAGTAAGGTGAAGCAGTTGCATGAAATGATGCACAAGTTTAGTATTAGGGTGAATAGAGAACAACCATACCATACTTACTTGCTTGTTCGATTGAGCTCTATAAGTTTAGAATACCGTACTTAGAGGGACGATATATATAGGGGTCATCCACCACAAATCCTCTCTATGTTGCAAGGCTTTGAAGCCTAAATACCGATGATTGGAAAATCGTATCGGAAGATGATGTATCTAAAGAGTAAGTGGTAGGATATTTTATGCTAACATCGTGGTTTGACCATTGCATACTGTTAAATACCGTCTACCGATTTAATCTCAAATAAGAGATTTTTCTGATTGAAGTGCCGATGCAGTAAGGGTTTTTTTTTTTTTTGTTGCTATTACATTACCCAATAAGGAAGGGAAGGATCATGGATTGTGATTGGTGGGTGGGTACCTATATAGATAGGAATGTGTGGCCATGGCAGGCCAAGTTACCATATTTAGACGACACACACACAATACTTCCTTGAGCCATATAAAGCGAGGAGAGAACATGTTATAGGAAATTCGACTTCCAAATTGATTGTTGCCGTGTATAATAAGCACATCCAACATTTGCTGACAATACACATTTCGAGATGGAAGGAACAAATTCTCGTAAAAACTCTAAAGTTAAACGCAGTTGGTATAAAATACTTCATTTAATCATTTATATTGGAAAATAGTGGGTTTCCAAGTCCATGCCCAAGTACTTATTACGTCCTGGGTTGTAATTGCTATCTTATTAGGTTCGTCCATTGTAGCTATTCGGAATCCACAAACCATTCCGAAAATCAAATGACCTCACAAGAACTCACCATAACACATTTCAAAAACAAAAACTATGCGGGATTAGTCCGATATTGTTCAAAAAAGAGCTGAGATATTTGATATTGTACACGGTGACACAACACAATAAATGTACGTGTTACAGTGTGCTTGCCCGCGGATTTACCCACTCACGATTGTTGAACCGAGTCCGAATGAGAGAGCAATGCACTGTTTGTTACGTAAGAAAGCGAAAGCCAGAACTAAACAAACCCAAAAAGGTTCTCTCCGTAGTAGTTGTTGAAACGAGCAGCGCAATACTAGACAAATCAATTGACTAATCAATTTGAATTGTGTGTCCATCTCTACATCCACCAGCTGCTCTAGTAAAGTTTCAAGGGAACAGACCTCATATTTCTTTTAGTCTTTTACGTTTTAGACTTTAGAATTATAGGTTTCACTGTTTTTTTAGACGAATAATCTTTGGGGCTGGAACTTCTAGGCTAAATTTAAACTAGTGATTTGATTATGTTCATCTGAATCATTTTTCTTGTTATACACAATCTTATTATAGAATAACACTGTGCCGAATGGATAAAATCAAAAAATTCATAAGTACTATACTAATACCGGACCAGAGGAGGGCTGGGCCGAGGCCCAGGATGGCCACCCCTGGATCCGCCACTGGCTATGGTAAAGCCCGAGCAAAATTATTCATGGTGGCCTCCAATATAAACTCGGCCAGCCGCCAAGATAAATCGTCGGTGGATAAAAAAACAGGGGCGGCGGAGGTAGGGGTGTTCAAACGGTGTGGTTACCATGGTAACCGTTTTAACCAGTACTATTTGGATAAACAGTGTGGTTACCATGGTAACCGTTTTAACCAGTACTATTTGGATAATTTGGTTTGGTTAATTTGGATAATTGGTTCGGTTTTGTTAAAGTTTTTACCTTGTTTGGTTTAGGTGATTTGGTTTGGTTTCAGACACTCCTAACCAGCCAAACCAAATTAACCAGATAAATAATTAGCCATATATCTAATATATACACATACTTAATATTTTGAATAACCACTCAAGAGTTAAACGTTCATTCTTTTAGACTCATAAAATATAAAGTTTGATATTGTTCCTATAATGTATATTTGTATATGTAGAGTGTAGACCACAACATATGAACGCCTAATTTAGATAAATCTCATACATTATGTTGGAGGAAAACTTGAAAGCAAGGTCCTTTTCAGCCTATGAAAATTGCTAAAAGACTAAGTCATTTCAAACAAACACAACAATTCATTAACACATACCATTGTGATAAATTTTTGTTAGGTGAATACATCTATACTAACCGTAAGATAATTGTCTTAGTTGCATGTATTTATGTTAAGGGTCAACTATAACTATGTGTTGATTGTTATATTTTATTCATTATATAAATTGTGAATTGATAAATTAACCGAAAATTTTCTCACTTAAAGATACTATGATTTTATATTGGTTAATCTGGTTAACCAATTAACCAAACTGATTAAACTTTAGTTTGGTTAATTTGGTTGTTGTATTAGTTTGGACGGTTTGGTTATGATATTGTATTCCATGGTAATGAAATTTAGCCTTATTTGGTTTGGTAATAACCATGGTAACCATTTGAACACCCCTAGGCGGAGGGGGAACCCGAGATGGGATGCAGGAGGTGATGGTGTAGAGAGGAAGGCCCAATTCGGGCCCAAATTGGCGGGGTGGATAGCCCCACTGGCACAATAATAGAAGGTATGCATATTAAAACGCACAGCAGCTTTAAGTTTGGGATGGAATTGTCACAAATACCCTTCCATGAAACGCTCTCCTGCCACCAAATTCAAAATGCTGAAAAATGAACTCTTATTTTGCCTTTATATATTTTGTAGAAGTATCTCTTACTTTTTCTTTGAAGTCGAGTGTTCCTTCTATTTCCTTGAGCTAATGGAATTGACTGTAATCGTAATTAACTCCTAATGGGTGAGCCTATTTTTATCTTCTCATAAATATGAAATTGTCTTGTTTCTAAAAGTTGTCATCTGATGCAATTTTTTGCGTGCTAAGTTTGGCCATTGACCATTGCATATCTCGAATTCGAGGAGTTTCATTGAAAAAGATAATTTGACTTGAACGTTTTTTACCTTCCCTAATGCTAAGAGCTAAAAGGCCAAAATTTGTAGCTAGATTGGTGATTTTAGTTCCACTGAAAAGTGATTTGCTCTCATTGGACTATGACTAAAATTTGGCACTCAGTCATTTTTTTCTCATAATCTAATGTTGCATTGATTTTGTTACTTTGTTTTAGATAATTCGTTCGTTATTTTATACATTCAGTAATATTAATTTAGACCAATATTTAGATGTAACCTTTTTATTTTAATATAATTTTTTGCCAAATAACATCATCTAAAATACGCCTAACCTTACAAAATTACTGTTACCACTTCTAGTTTCATTTTGACCATCAAACCATGGAAATGTTTTCGTTTGGGCCTCACAGATAATCTGGTCATTGTTGTGGACCAGCGTTCTGAAACTATGGGCAATGGATGGGAACGAAACCAAGGGGGGAAGAGGATGACGAAACAGAATAGTAAGCGTGAGAATGACAATGTAGAATCTTTGCGAGAAACAAAATATACTTAAATATTTTTTACAATGGAAAAATATGGTAAGATGTTAAGATTATTGAGCAGCAAGTTGAGCTATAATAAAATCTTGCCATGAATTTATACCAACGTCCCTGGACGAAAATCAACATGTGACCTACCATTTCTTGAAAAAACCATGTTAAACTAAAATTGTCCCTAACAAAAATAAACCTCCTCTCCTGTGGTTTTTCCAAACCACATTATGAAAGAGCTACAACAGATCATCATGAAAGACTTAAAAGGGACTTAAAAGTGACAATAGAACACAATGAATGAAATCAAACTACTAAATCATTCTCAACTAGACAAGCACAAACCAAAACGAGCAGAGGTAGAAATTAGAATCACAATTTCCAACTACTTCATTAGTCTTATTAAGAGAATGCCATAAAGGCAGAACTAACTTACAAACATCCGCTGAAACTGAAATGTGAAGGCCATTCCGTTCTGCTTGGCCGATGATGTAGTATTGTGAGTTGATACCATAGAGAGCCAGAGCATGGTCTTGTCAAACTTGGAAACTACCACCTCGGGGACTTGGAACAGAGTCTTGGACGGGTGGAGGATTAGCACTTCATCAATTTCAGACGAATGTTTCTGTTTAGCGACTGCCGCTCGTCGACCTGTAAGAGGGATTTTAAATCCTCGCAAGCTTCGCGATGAGGAAGGTGTATACCAATTACCTTCTCACCAGATACTTCTCCAATTCCAACCAAGACTCCCTATGCTACCCTTTCCCTCACCAACGTCTCTTGAGGCTTCACTTCTTTGGAATCTGATGAGAAAGAGGTGGTAATCATTGGCAGCGACCCCAACAGCTTTGTGGTGCCATCAAGACGGTGTAGCACTAGCTCGGCATCAAATTCACATCAACATCATCCATGAGAATGAGATAGGCCTTTCAAAGGGGAGAAAAGAGATGGAATAGTGAAGCTAGACACATTAACTTATCAGAGGTCGAGATGGGAATAGTTCAGCATCACTCCACTTCCCTTTCAGCATCACTTCCCCCCTACTTGATGTATTATAAGGGGTTCGATATATCTCCCTTCCAACAACATAAACCGAAAACCAAACGTACCAAATAAACCCCGTCGATGGATGTCTCTTTTGCCGCTGGTAAGACTCGAACTCGCAGGCGGCTCCCTTTCTTTCTTTCTTCCCACCTCATCTGAAACTGGAACATCAAAAGACAACATCAAAACAAACCAAAAAAAACTAAACAATCCAAAAACTTACCCAAGCCTTCTCAAGATTCGGATTTCTTCTGAAGCGAAAAGGCATGCGAGTACTCTTTCTTCCACTCGAGCTAACCCCAGAAAGAAAAACCCAGAAAAGCAAAACGAAAAAGATCAGAATCATAAAAACTCAAACAAATCGAATTAAAACAAAAGAAGATCTTTCTAAACTCCATGAACGAAACCAACAAACTTATCACAAATATAAAAGATGCAAGGTAAAACCTATTTACCGTAATTGTGAATCCATTCAGAGATGGAGGCAGCGAATACATGGAAGACGGCGAAAGGGGAGAAAGGGTGGAAGGAGTGAAAAAAGTTGGAGTCTTTCCGCACAATGGAAGACTCAATTGTCGCAAAATCACCATGTAAAATACCCCATACATAGTATACTTTCTGTTTAACAACATAGTCGGTTTATGTCACTATTAATTAATTAATGCCCAAGTCATCAAATACCTGATCTTCAGAATAGTTGCATAGATGTATTGCTAAACAGAGAGACAATCTGAAATCACTAATTATGGCAAGTTGTTAGTGCATTCAGTAATCGATTGGTAGTAGGCACATCTTTCTACCAGAAATCACTATTTCCACGAATTATATTTTTTAGTGAATGCAGCCAGCATTTTGTTGTGGCAATCCCAGACCATTAACAGTTAATACCGGAATTACCTGATGGTTAGAAACTCTGCAGGATTAGTTTCGGACTGCCTTGGTCGAACTTCAAACACACCTACATGATAGACCACAAGAACAGTAAGGAATTTACCAAAATTGAGTAGATAAGCAGAAAGCTTCAGATTCTGATAACGCCTATTAAATTGAATCTTAGTGGGCTTCACACATACCGCCTAACCCTGTACACATTGCACTTGCCGCCTGCAGATCTTGTATTTTGGGATTTATTTGCGGGCAGAAGGCGGGGCAAATTTGGGTGCTCCCTTTCACATTCCTCCGCAAATCTCCGACGAGAGACGGCAGGCAGAATCGTGAATTCTGGGTGTCGCCAGGAGGAGAGGAAACAAAGTCTAATTTCGCTAGGAGGAGAGATTATGGGTTTTGTCCGGAGGCGAGCAGACGGCGTCACTGAGCAGCGTTGCTCGTGTCCTGGACATGGAGAGAAGGAGGAGCGAGCGACGGCCGACTTGTGTACTCCCTTTCGCGTTCCACCTCCAATCTCCGACGGAGCGTAAAGAGAGAGATGACAGGGCGGCGAAGTGTTTTGGGGGAGGATAAGATGCAATGCAGGCCCAAACGAGAGGAGTAGAAAGCCCATCGGAACAGAGAGTACACTTGGGTCATGGGCCTATGGGGAAACCATACGCAGAGTTTCATTTTGTCGGTTGGAATCTGGAAACGACAGAACTACCCTCCTCGAACCAGCATTTTCAAATGGAGAAAATTGGACACCTGAAAAGGGGCAAAACAGCCGGCGGGATAAGGGCGGTCGACCGGGAAGAAGTGAAAGCCCGCACCGCACCGCACGGAAGCAGAGAGTAGAGAGGAAAATTTACCTGGGTGTCAGCGGGGCGAGATTTCAACCATTTTGAGGTGCAATTACGCGACGCTTGGTGGGGGAGAATCTGGGATTCTGCCGAGCTGGCCTTTGGCATCTCACTTGGCATTTTTCGGCTCTCTCCTCCAGCATACCCGTAAAATGGTATCAATCCCATTCTTCTTCTTCTATCTCCAACTATTTATCATTGTGGTACTGCTCTCTTTAACATATTCCTTCTTAGCTCTTGAAATCTCTTAAATCTTTCCCATAGAATTTCCTATATATATGATCTTTCAATCTGATCTTCCATTTTTGTGAATTCTCAGTGATTTGGTTCATATTTTTGGGCGGAGGTCACTAGGTAGTAATGATGCATTACTAAAGGTCAGGGACAAGGTGGAAGGATTTTTTAGATGCTGGGGTACACAAGTGTATTGGAAGGATAGGAGAATGATAATTTACTCTGTGAAGCAGGTTTGGCAAGACCTGCAACCTGTTAGACCTCGAGTGGACTGGTATCAGCTGGTTTGGGGGAGACATTTGATTTCAAAGCACAGTTTTCTTTGCTGGATTATAACACGAAACAGGATCACAACACTTGCACAGCTGCAGAGTTGGGGGAAAGTAGCCAGTGCAACCTGTCTATTCTGTTTGGCTCAAGCAGAGGATAGGGACCATCTGTTTTTTAGCTGCCATTACACGTATCAGGTTCTAAAAAGCTGTATGCTTATGCTTAATCTAATAAGTCCTCAGTTGAATGGTTATGAGGATTATTTGCAGTGGGCTGTACGAACTTTCAAGGGGAAGAAGGCTTTAGCAATGGTTGGTAGATTGGTTTGGAATCTGGCTGTGAGCTTGATTTGGAGGGAACGCTGTGGCAGAGTATATGGTACTTCAGCTTTGCAGTCTATGGAGTTGGTCCGGACAGTGCGCAGGAATATTGAGTTGGCTAGATGTGGTAATGCTGCTTTGGATACAGATTGCAGAGCAGTTCTTAGTCAGTAAAAACAACAAAGTGTAGGTTAGGTTAGGTTTCTTGTCATCTTTGTTTGCTGTGTATATGTAGAGCTAGTAGCAGTAGTAGCAGTGTATATGCTGTGATTTGTAATGGTCCAGATGTGTTTCTCCTATTTCACAGGGGACACATAGAGCTTCAATAAAATTTTTTGATATTGCCCATAAAAAAAAAAAAAAAATAATGATGCATTGATTTCTCTTTTACTTCATGCTCCAGCTTTCTTCGGAGGAGCTCTGTGTGTGTGGCTGTGTAAAGCTTTATTGTGATCCTAGTAGCACGGAGGGGAGTAGACCTCTTGGGGTTTGATGAGAAGCTTGATTAGAAAAACACGCTCAGAATTTTGAAATCGCTTAGAATCAGTGATACAAGGTTAGGTCAGTAGCTAGATTGCTTTGAAATCTTTGATTTGTTTTGTTTCCATTTTAGCAGCTGATGCATGACTTATTGAACCTAGTCAGATTCAATAGGATACTTTTGGTTTAGTGTAAGTTAGTAGATCACTAGATCTGTTGTTTCATTAGGTTAACTGGACACTCTTTTCTTTTATAGTAGTCACTCGGTTGCCGTACAAGGTTTAATTTGTGTTCTTATTTATACCATATATGAAATTGTTGGCTTTGTACACTTACACGGCAATCTATAACTTTTTGGTTCTCTCTGAACATGCTTTATTCTCTTCCCATGGGTGCTACTGATGAACTGCTCAATGGTTTGCAGGTTAAGCTTGAGCCAATTTTGGGTGTTTACCTTCTACATGGCACATTTCAGAAACCGACCAAATAGAATAGATGCCGCTCACAGTAAAAACTCATGACAAGGTTAGTGAAGATGTATTCTGCACATTGCCCTTCAAATCATTTGGAATCTTACATGGATGCCTGAACAAATAAAAAGGCACCTTACAGTAGAAACTACCAAATGGTTAGTAAAGACCGATTATGTGAAGTCCTGGAAACTATCAAATCATTTGTCGTCACAAATCATTTGATACTTGCACCATATTTTTTATATCATGCTTTCACTCTATTCTGTGGACATCACAAGTAGAAATTGCAGGGGAAAACTGCATTATTTTGCTTTAAGTACCACACTTCCTGCCATGAACTATTTTGTTATTCTTATGCTACTGTCTAAAAGGACTAACAATTTTTAGCTGATATATTCACATGTTGTGCTGCCTGGAGTGAAAATTGCTTGACACAAGAAGACAGGGTTACACACACAGAGAAAGAACAGACAACGAGTACCTGCGATTGGAAGGGATTTTGTTGTCTCTGCACATAGAAAGGTCGGTATCGCAGATTGGTTGTGAATTTCATATTACGTTACTGTTTTTTGTAATTAGAATCTTATCAGTATCAAATAGTTAGTTATTAGATGTTTTATTTTTATGGTAACTCATTCTAATATGTTCCATTAGGATGAAAATGTTTTGAGTTGCTTTGGCCTAAAGAAATCAAATGAGAGCTTCCAATTGGGGTTATTGATTTTGAGATACGGAACGAGATTTTATTGTGCAATGTCCATAATTGTTGTAACCCAACTTAGTGGTCCGATTCTGGCCTATGCTCTTTTCAGTTACTCCTTATTCTGTAAGTTCTTATACAACACATTTAGTAGCTCTAAAATGTTGAAGTCATAAATATTAGAAAACTAAAACTAGAATACTTGATACTTTGCCTTACTTTCAAAGTATTAGTTTCCAAATCAAGTTCTTTTATCAATTGATTGTAGAATCCCACCTCTTGCCCCTATTGCAATAATCAATGAAGGAGATATTTGAGGCAGGTGGAAGGAGGCGTGCCCACTGCGTCCAACTTTAATGAGTGAATAAGAGCTGCAAGCATGCCTATCGCAAAACTTGGAAAGGTTCGTCCAAGATCACTAAGCTCCTGGATTGCTTGGAGAGAATCTATGGTTATTCTTGGGAGAAGAGTATTAATTTTTAGCCACTGGGATTCTCTATTGTAGCTCTTGGAAATTCCACAGAGGGACTTGATGTTTCAATGATATGATTTTTAGAAGAACAGCTGCTGAAACCACTTTGTTTAACAGCTTGTGGGTGGTTCTCTATGGATTTTTAGAAGAACATAATATGATTTTTTTTCGTAAAATTATTTCAAGCTTTGTTGGTGGGGCTCGACTAAATCTAACTGTTGCTTCAAATGTGTTATAACAGTACAGTCCCATAACTTTCCACGTGGTCTTCCCATTTTAGATTTAATAGTCAAATCTTTTATTTTAAAAAAAATAATAGTCAAATCTTCAAAAAAAAAAAATAGTCAATCCGTTAACTTTCAATCCAATTGACCGTCAGTTGACTCTGATGTGGCAATTTGCTTGTTGACATGGAACTGTTTGTGTGAGGTGGCATTTAATTCCGTAAGTTTAATTTTTTATATATTATTTTTAAAATAAAATTAGAAAAATAAATAAAGTGTAACAAATCACAACTATCCCTATTCGAATCCCTCTTCTCCTCTCTAGCCGATCTCATCTCACTCCATCGTCGCCTCTACTTCTTCTTCCTTCTTCGCCTCTACTTTCTGCATCTCTCTGCCACTGCAGCTTCCATTGCCACCGGCTGGGGTTTCATGGCCTTCATTCCTTCGTCGTATCCTCGTCGGCTTTGCAGTTAGGGTTTCAATTTCGGGAGGTTTCTCAGCGGTTGGGTGGACGCTGTCGCTATCGTCTCCTCTGTCTCAGTCACTTATCCCTCTCCACCCGTCAAATTTCCCTCTCATTTCTTTGCAGGTTGATCTGGGCGAAGAAGGAAAAATCCAAGTACCCAAAATCCCGCCTCTTCGTCTCCATCTTCCATCTAGCTTCTCCACCCGCCGCCGAAGGGGGATTTGGGGTGGGGGGGTTAACACGCAGGGGAGAGAGAGAGGGGTTTAGGAGAGAGTAAGCAAAATAGTGATTAGGGAGGATAATTCGGCAATTGGAATGGGAGTCGTTACAGCTCCGGGAGGCTGAAACAGGGGGATTCGGCGATGAAGATGGTCGACGGGAGGAGAGCTGAGCGGCGAAGGAGGAGCAGAGAAATTTCACATTTAATTTCATTTTTTCTGTATCGTTATTATTATTTGTCTATATTTTATTTATTTACTTTTTGTAAACAAAATTTGTGTTTCAATGTAATATCCATGTGGCAAGGTCAAACATTTGACTCATTGTCACGTTACACAAACAGTTTCATCTCGACAATTAAATTGTCACGTCAGAGTCAATTGACGGTCAATTAAATTTTAATGGATTGACTATTATTTTGTTTATTGAAAGGTTTGACTATTATTTTATTTTAAACAAAAATATTTGATTATTAAATTTTATTTATCGTAAAAATAAAAAATAGTAGGGCCGTAATTCGTTGGCAATAAGAGACAGAGGCGGAGCCAGCTCAAGGTTTGGAGGGGCCATGGGTTGTTGACTTGTTGTGTGTGTAGGTAATGACGCGAGTTCAACCCCCCTGCACACATTCCTTTTGTTCTTTTATAAGGGATAATTATCTTATTTTTATAAATGTGTATTTTGAGATAGAAAAATACTTCAAAACACAAAGTAACTTCCTTTTTGCACTTGAAACAAGTATTTCGAATCTAATTTTATCGATTTATTTATAAATAAATAGAACATATCTTCTCTTCTTTTTTTTTGTCCCCTAAATCATATAATCTTTCCTGGCTTTGCCCCTGTTGGTAATGGAAGTAAAAGTGATTCAAATAGAGAATGCATAGTTATCACTCAATATCAAAGATTAAATTCGATTAGACGCGCGTTGAGTTATACCAATGACAATGATAAGCTAAAATATAACAATTAAGAAAATCGAGACGAAGAATGGCGTCATTGCAGGAATGGTAGGGTGTGGACTAATCAAGTCCATCATCTCCATCTCTTCCGATTTGATGCACAACTTTAGGACGGGACATCTCACCCTTACGTCTCCACGGTCTATGATTCTATGCCAAGCTGTTGGCATGGCCATAGGCTGTTTTGTCGCGCCACTGACATTCTTCATGTTCTACAAGGCCTACGACGTTGGGGGCCCAAACAGCGAGTACAAGGCTCCCTATGCCCTCATATACAGGAATATGGTGGTCCTGGCAGTTGAAGGCTTCTCCGCCCTACCCCAGCACTGCCTGCTTATGTGTTGGGTGTTTTTTGGGTTCGCCATCGTCGCCAATATGTTGAGGGACTTGCTGCCAAAGAGAGTCGGGAACTGGATTCCGCTGCCCATGGTTATGGCTGTGCCTTTCCTGGTAGGAGGGTACTTTGCCATCGACATGTGCGTAGGGACCCTGGTTGTCTTTCTGTGGCACAAGTTGGACAGAGCGAAGGCTAAGGTGATGGTTCCTGCTGCAGCTTCGGGGCTAATTTGTGGAGATGGGTTGTGGATTCTGCCCGCATCCGTTCTTGCGCTGCTTAAAGTGACCCCTCCGATTTGTATGGGTTTCACCCCTAGTAAATACGAGGTTTGAGAAAAAAGGGGAAGGATGAATGAAGAGGAAGATGAAAGGTTGAGCCAGCAGTAGTGTTATGTTTCTCAATGACATTTTACTACCATGGTGGATTCTGCCCGCACCCAGCCCCTTTTCTATGCTTTGATACTGTCTATCTAACAAACAATCGGGACAATTTTCTTCTCTCAACTCTCTCAATGATGGAGTAGATTGATATAATAGGAAGAATTTTTTCTCTGTTTTTAGAAGGGAAGTTGGAATCTTGGTATGAAGAATGCCAACTTCCTTCACATTTATATAGTAGGAAGGATTTTTTTTCTTTCAGAAAAGAGAAGGGGGAGAAGGTAAAATACACATGACTCACCTGTTCTGTTGCCAGTGAGAGTTGGTGCTTCATGGAACCCGCATGAATATTTAATTTATCTACAAATATATTATGGTGGAGTGGGAGGCCGTTATTCAGTATTTGAAAATTGCTGGCCAAAGAACCATTTTCGGAGCCCCATATTAGTAATTTACTGCCCACTTCCGTCACCCAACATTGGGCTTAAAATGCTATGAAGACATATGGCCCATTTTGTTTCTATTTCTCCTCAGGCCCAGTTTTGTTTCTATCCGTGTGCAGAGTATGGACCTGCATCACAATCTTAAAAATAAGAATATTAAAATAAATAAAATGGAAGAAAGAAATCGGGGGCTCCCGCACAAATTGGTCGCCGCCGACCGCCAATAAAGTTCTTCAAAAACCTGTTGCCGCCGACCGTTCCCCTCCGTCGCGCAGCTTCTCTCTCGGCGTATTCGCACCCTCCCCGATTTCTTCCCATGTCATCCCAGCTGTAGACACCAGTTTTTGTCCGGGTTAAAGTATTCAAATTAAAAAAAAAAAATTTGTTTAAGATTTACAATAGTGAATCTTGAATTACCTTATAGCTACTAACATATAAAACGTATTTATAGTGGTCGGAACACGTCATGTTTTTCATAACTTAATGAGATTAGCAATAGCAAATCTCATTTTTTACAATTCGGATCAATGAGATTAGCAATAGCAAATCTTAATTGGTAGAATTTGAAAGTGATGACATGCTTGGGTCACACAAATTAACAGCCACTCAATTTAGCTATCGGTGGATATAGCTAGGGCTGTCAATTTGGTTTGGTTTGGTTAACCAAACCATTAAGTATGAAAAACCAAAAACCAAAAACCAAAACCATTAAGGCCCTTATTGATTTTTTGTTGCAAAAAACCAATAAGGGCCTTAATGGTTTTGGTTTTGGTTTGGATAACCAAAAAACCAACATGTACTCATACACTCATATTTATTCCTATTTCCCTCCTTTTTATTGAATAAACGTCATAATAATGGTAAATGGCCATAACAAATTATTGGTTGGCATGCGTGTTAAAAGAAACAAAAAAAAATATTTGTTGATAAATAATTTTATTCTTATTGGTTTCTTAATGGTTTCTATTGGTTTTTCGGTTTTAACCAAACCAAAACCATTAAGTTGCTTATTGGTTTAAAACCAAAAAACTGAAACCATTAGCTTTCCAATTGGTTTGGTTTCGGTTAAAACCAAAAAACCAAAACCAAATGGACAGCCCTAGATATAGCTTTAAGACTAGTGTTCTTGTGAGGATGCGGCTTTGATTTCGAACAATAAATGAATCAAGCACAAGTATTAATATTGTACTAAAATGAATCACAATTACAATAATTACAATAACTAAAACGCAATTACAGTTACAATTAGAAAAAAACAACACACAAAAGAAAAAGGCCAAGTCAATTTATCAGATCCGGTCAACAAAGTCAAAGCCCAAACCCATGTCCAAGGTCAACGAAAGTCAACTATTGGTCAAACATTCAATCAAAACAATGAACAAAGTCAAGCCGGTCAGAAATCAGGTCTGACCAAACCGGTCCAATCCTACCCAGACACTGTTGCAAACTTGGTGAACAAGTTGACTTTTCCTATAAAAAAGAAACCATGGAGCAGAAAAAGGGTGATCTGGGGACCTTCCTCTTCGTGTCATCACACACTAGGCAGATAGAAAAAAAAGGAAAGGAGGGACAGAAAACAAAGCAAAAAACAGGGGACTTCCTTCTTCTAGTTTCTTCCCTTCTCCTTCCCCTAGCTTCCTGCCAGGGGACACTTCACGGCCAACTGCTTTCTTCCTCTTCTACTTCTTCCTTCCTCGACAGACCTCTCTCTTGCAAGATACACAAAAAAGATACTCACTTTCCAAAAAACCACAACTCCCTTTCCTCTTCCTCACAAAAACAAACACACACGGACAGAGAGCTAGAGGAAAATTCTCTACCCCCTTTTCCTTCTTCGAGCCACATACAACCCACAAACCAGTAGTCAAAAAATAGAAAAGCAATAACAACCACCACTAGAAAACTCAAGAAAGGAAAGGAAGCAGCAATCAGAACTCCACAGAAGTAAAGAAGAAAACAGCTCTAACCACACCAGTCTACAAACAAAAGGTTGGTAGCTCCAACTGAATCCTTCCTTCTATTTCCATCATCATTCACAATCATCTAACTTCTCCTACCTATGTGAAGTTTTTCTCTTATCAAAAGAAACTTAATCAACTCCATTCAAACTAGCAGCAGGCTGATTTTGTTTAAAAGAGGAACATATTCGATCTACCTTAAGCAAATCACAATTTGACTACTTTCATCTACTTATTATTATCGTTGTACTTTATCAGTTCTTTTCCCATTCAGGCAATTCACCACTACCATCATCCACTTGTATACATTCATCTTTCTATTTCAGTCCCTTTTTCCATTTAAGCACTTACCATTATCGCAATCCTTGTATTTATTTGTCTACTCTTTCTATTGCTATAACTACATATAGCTTACAAGTATTTTCGTTCAAGTTAGCTTACGCATATGAGTACAATTACTAATGATCTGCTAATACTAATATAATAGTATTGTTTCATTTATCATCTCATTTGCACTTCCACCATATTAGCATGAAATTCCATCATTACATACGTAAGCAAAACAATGCTAAAACCACTAATAAATCACGGAATAGAAAGCAGAAAGAAACAGGCAATACTCCCAATCGCCACTCAAATTTCAAAATTCAAAGCATCATGAACACCATAAACTTATAATCTAAACCCACTGTTCCAAAACCATAAACACTCGTAGAGAGCATAATCTCAAACCAAGACTAACAACTACCATGGTTTCTCAAATTATAGTCCAAAACCAACCCAAACCAAGCACCATTATCACAAAGCTAATATCCAGATTCACACTTACGCGTACCATCAATCACCAAATTTAAACCCATAATACACAACGATACAGATATGTAAACCCATTTTTAAACCACTAGAAAGGAAATCTCACGCTTACGAACAACCATATTCGCAAAAAAAAAAAAAAAAACAGTTATAAGCACAAACTTCTAGAACCAAAACTTTCCACCACAAACGCTTCTATAACCAAAAGTACAAACCACAAACCGAATTTCCAGGTTATTAAGCCCCATCATCAACCATAAACGCAGAAATCCCAGCACTACCATAAAACATCATATTTCCATATTCAAACCCACAATCTCACAAAAATACCAACTTTCTGGAGTTCCATACCATGAAAAGAAATTTTCAGGACTATAAACCACTATTAGCGAATCAAACCCAGCTAAGAAACGACCCAGAGAAACAAAAGCTTACCAAAACAAAGTTCACTCATCTTGTCTTTGTCGCCGCCGGAGAAGCTCAGAGCTGCCGTTGTTGACCTTCATTCCTTCCTTCGCCCTTTCCTCGTCCCCCTTTCACCAAAACCCAAAAAAAAGGGGCGAAATCAGAATCCAATCGAAGAGCAAATAAACCAAAAATTAAAAATAGGGGTCGAAACCCTCACCCGTCACTGCCAGGCCTCTATCGTCGGCCACCTTATCTCCTTCGTCCAATCACAAATCGGAAGCCCCAACTGACGATATGCCGGCGGTGCCGGGAATGAAACGTCGGCGCCTGCTCCATCTCCTCCTTCCTTTCCCACTCGCCTCCATCAAAAACCCAGGAAATTTATTCAGAACCCCCAAACCTAGCAAAATCGAACCTTAAAATCAACATGCAACCTATTAAAGAAAGCTCGCTTTCGTCGTTGTCTTCGCCGGCGACCATCTGGTTACAGTCGTCGTCGATCTTCCTGTCGTCGGGTCCTCTACTCGTCTCGACAAAGAGGAGGAGAGATGGTGTTTTGGGCGAGACGAGAAAGAGAGCAAGTCGGAGATAGGATCGGAAGGGAGAAACAGAAGGAAGAGCGAATTGAGATTTGGTTTGTCTGGATTTCCTTTCTTCATTTCGGTTTTGCCATGGGAGAAGAGAGGAGCGGCGGAAATGACTAATGAGCTAGGGTTAGGGTTTGAGTTACTAGCCACAATTATATCCTCTGCCCGCTAAAACGACCCCGATGTCGTCGTTTGACGCGTTTACCACCAAAACGACCCGAGAGAGTCCGAACCGCAAATAAAAAATAAATCCTCTCCTAATATTTCAGTCAATAGTTTAAACCACTAGGCTGGTCGCCTGCCACTTACATCTTTATTAACCTCTTACATTTTTAAAAGTTAAACATCCTTAATACGTAAAATTTAAATGTGATCGAATCCTTAGTTTAGGATTAATTCGATTACTCCTATACCCAAAGGATATCTAACATCCAATCATTGTGAGATAATTGTTTTCTTGCAATGTCAAAATACATGTTTTTTCCTAAACAACTCTTATAAAAAAAACATGGCCAATAGGCCGCTATAATCGTTCGCGGTGAAATCCTTTCAAAAGTCATTTATCGCTCCATATTGAAACATCATAAACGCATTTCGTAACAACTCAAATTATCATCTTAACCACGATCAATAGAGCGTGTTAAGATCACATTTTACAATCTCTCAAAATTACAGCGAACTACGTGGACTTTGATCCCGACTACTCGGGTACGTAGGCAACCAATAGGTTCGAGTCCAACTAACAAATTTTCTCCACATTCCTAATGTGTGAGACTCAACATTTAAAACTCACAATTACACGAACTACGTGGACTTTGATGCCGACTAAGTCGGGTACATAGGCAACCAATAGGTTCGAGTCCAACTAATTATAAAACTCTTTCTTTACCTGTCGAGATTACGTCAATAGACGTATGATCAAATATTAATAACTATCTAATTAATCAAATAATAAAATTAAATACATTAATAAAGCCACAAATAATAATACACCCAATATTTAATAAGCTTATCGATCCATGTAGTACCCATTTGGGGCGTTGTGGGGTGTGAATACACTTTCCCACACGTAACTGTACTCCCGAACTTAGAAAATCTAAAAAATTCGCAGACCAGATTTCTGGTTTTAACCTAAATAATAAAATCAGAAAGGGTATTCGATCCACCACAACTAAGATCGATGGCGACTTCGAGCGAATTCGCGAGCGATACCCCGATGGCAAGGGGCGGTTGCGACACCAGCAAATTCACACATACGGGGTTTCCATCACTATGTACGACGTACCCGTCTCTTTCCACACCAATTAATCACACCAAGGAAAATTGTTTAACTATGGTAATAATTGGATACATTTTATTATATACTTAGAATTGTACCCATATCCAGAAATTCATCTTTGTCAATCTCTTTTTGTAGAGTTTATTTTAAAAAAATCTTTGCGTATGAAGCAGAGTCGATATCATGGAGAAATGATTTAATGCATAATATTTTTGAGATATAGATGGTTGTATGACGTACACCTTCAAACAACTTCTAGAATTTGATATTTTTTAGGAAAAAATCCAAAAGTACCACTGTTTAAAAAAAAAATTCCAAAAATACCACCCAATCCCAAAAAATTCCAAAAATACCACCCTTTTTCAAAAACCGCCACCCCACCCAGCGGTTTGGTCGAAAACCGCTTGTCGGGGGCGCGGTTTTGGACCAAACCGCGGGCCTAGGGGGCGGTTATAAAAAAAAAAAAATTTGGACCAAAACCGCTGGGTGGGGCGGCGGTTTGGCCCAAAACCGCCACCCCGACCAGCGGTTTGGTCCAAAAGTTCGGTCGAAACTTCAAACGAACGTAACTTTGCACTCGGGTATCCGATCGTAGCGATTTTTTTTTTTCATTTCGCATAACTTTTCAAGATCTACAACTTTTACTAGGATAAAATTTTCAAAACAGGAACTATTTGTGGATATACGGGACCTTGAGAATAACTTTACCTTTACTTTTCAGAAATCCATGTACATTTTGAAATTATGATTATATTAAAAGTTGTAGATCTTGAAAAGTTATTCAGAATAAAAAAAAAATTCATGACATTCGGATTTTGGAGCACAAAGTTATGACCGCCCAAAGTTTGACGAAATAAAAAAAAAGGTCGTTCGGGGTGGCAAATGACGTTTTTTCGAGACGAAGACGGAACCCGACTGTTTGAGACTTGCAAGATCTCAAAAAGTTATTCGGATTCAAAAAATGGAGGCCGCAAACTTTTTGAGATCTTGCAAGCCGCAAACCGCCGGGTCTCGCCTTTCGTCAAACTTTGGGCGGCCAAAACTTTGTGCTCCAAACTCCGAATGTTATGAACTTTTTTTTGATTCCGCATAAATTTTCAAGATCTACAACTTTTAATATAATCATAATTTCAAAATGTACATGGATTTCTGAAAAGTAAAGGTAAAGTTATTCTCAAGGTCCCGTATATCCACAAATAGTTCCTGTTTTGAAAATTTCATCCTAGTAAAAGTTGTAGATCTTGAAAAGTTATGCGAAATGAAAAAAAAAATCGCTACGATCGGATACCCGAGTGCAAAGTTACGTTCGTTTGAAGTTTCGACCGAACTTTTGGACCAAACCGCTGGTCGGGGTGGCGGTTTTGGGCCAAACCGCCGCCCCACCCAGCGGTTTTGGTCCAAATTTTTTTTTTTTTTATAACCGCCCCCTAGGCCCGCGGTTTGGTCCAAAACCGCGCCCCCGACAAGCGGTTTTCGACCAAACCGCTGGGTGGGGTGGCGGTTTTTGAAAAAGGGTGGTATTTTTGGAATTTTTTGGGGTTGGGTGGTATTTTTGCAAATTTTTTTTTAAACAGTGGTACTTTTGGATTTTTTCCATATTTTTTACTGTGAGAAGTGTCATGTAACTTCAACACAAGCAATCATAAAATAACTAAGTTCATGTTATCGACCATTTTAGTTTCTTTATTTCAAGTACCATAGTTTCTATGACTGGTTCTTATTGCACAAACATTTGAACTCGATTTAGGCAACCTTTGTTGAACCTCTATTCGTGACACGGTTTGCATCCAACTTAAAATAAGAGATATAAAAGTCATACACTAATTCCATTTATTGCATCATCGTGGCTTCTGTTATATTATAATAATGCCCAAATTGATTAAGTTTCAACGGGCCAACACTAAAGCCATACACTATTTATTCGACCAACGGGCCGACCATCAAACTAGTTTAGTTTAGAGAGTTTTTATCAACCTCAACCAATATATATACCGTAGTGCACATATGGAGTTTGCCACATCAGCTGCTTGAAAGCAACCAATAATTTTAGGAAGGGCATTAGTGTCAGTGAATACATCTCGATTTAAAACTCCTGAAAAAAGGACCCGCAGCCAGCCAGCCCACACATTGATGACTAGGCCCTTACTACCCATCAGCCCGGCCCGGCCCAACCCTGTGGGCCGGGTAGGGTAAATTAGTCTTTAGGGCCAAAACAGGGTCGGGTAACATTCTGACCCTAAAGGGTAGGGTATTTTTGGGTTTTACCCTTAAAACCCATTCAGACCCATTTTGACCCATTATGACCCTAAATTCCTAATTACCCACCCCAACCCATTTCGGCTATCATCTCCATCATCGACCCAGCACCTGCCGCCGCATCTCCTTCATCCTTTGCGCCGGTCCAGCACTCGGGTTCGCCCTCCGCCGCAGCCCTTCCCTGCCCCCCAGCGCAGCAGCTTCCCTGTTCTCGCTCCCCGTCCTCTCCTCGGCGTAGCTGTACTCGCACGACGTGTCGTCGAAGGAGAAGCTCCTGGAGGAGTAGCAGAAGCTCTCCGTTTCGTCGACGACGCCGTCTTCTCCTTCCTCCTCCTCCTTCTCGTCTCAGGGGCGACCACGGCGCTGGGTTTTTTTCACATCCACAGGAGATTGATGGGTGAGGAGGGAAAATAGACCAAGCTCTGAATCGGATTCCACACACCCAGCTTCTCTGCTCCCCAAACCCAGGTTCGACTAGTTCATCTCACTTTCCTGTCTTAGCGTCCTTCTCCTGCTTCAATCACAAACTCATGGTCAAAATGGCAGTAATGATACTCATCTGATCAGGACCTGCTCCTACTATTTCCCAGTGCTAGCTTTTGCTTGCCATTTCAGGGGTCTTATTAATTGCTGGCTTTGGTCAATTCTTTTTCTTAATGGCTTAGCAGTGTTGTGTTGTGCATAAGTCATGATCAGAATTGGGGTTCGTTGCAAAGACTCGATGTGATGTGGTGGAACTGGAGAATTGATGGTGCAGTGAATTGCTATATTGGTTGCATTTACTGTTAAAATGTTCCCTTCAACAAACCATTTTTGGAGTTCTTTAGTAGGGTAGAGTACTTGTGAACAGACAGGCATAGATACATGGCTACATAGCTTAGGTTGGAGGATATGGAATCAAAGTTACAGAATTATGGTGGCATTGTTGGTGGGATGTCAAGATTGTGCTATGTGTTGTTTCCTCAACCAGACCGAGAGGTGTGTTTGGAGGAAACCTTGCAGTTCTTTTGTATTTCTTTCTGGAGCATATTTCCGTGTTGTGGCACACATGGGATTGGATGGATTTAGGAGTAAATGGAAGGGTATTTTCAGTGTGAGAAGCTTTCAGCTTTCTTTGTTTTCTTCTACTTTTCATTAATGTTTGTTGTTAGAATTGACCTGCCATTGTACATGTGAGATAGAAATGATTGCTGATAGCATCCCCTAGTTTCCCCAGTGTAAAACAGCCAACCAGCATCCCTTTCTTTTCTCAGCTCCCTCTAATTTGAACTGCATTTGCACTAAGCTCTCCTTCCAGAGATCCCTCTTCAAATATGAACTCGTACATGGGAAATTTGGTAGACGGCAGTAAGAGTGGGGGAAATATTGACGTTTTTGTGGTTCAGTTTATTGACTGGTGCCTTATTTCCCCCGGTTGCAGTTCCATTGCGCACGTCGAGTGATCAGCCCTACAGGCTGCGCAAGTTCAAGCTGCTGCTGGTTTATGAGTATGTGCGCCAGCCAGATGTGGAGGTAATATTTTTGTGTTTGGTACCTGAGAATAGCTGCAATTTGTGAATGCAAGTAAGGTTTTGATTTGCTACGTTTGTAATCCTAACTCTTTCTTGCTATTTAAAGACTTGAGAATTTGAATTAATCCTCTGGACAAACTCGACTGAGTTAGATGTTAAGTTTGGATTAAAAAAAAGTAAATTATAGTATTATCAGTTTGTATGATTAGCTCCATTAGTGTTAGGTTGTATTCCATGAGAATTAGAAAATGTTCAGGCTTCATTGGTAATGATTGTGCATATTTTGATCTAGGAGTACTCGAGATTACTTCGCAGCCCAATTCTGTTCTGATTTGTGTATATTTGATTTCCCAGGTTGGTGTGGGATTAATGTTCTTCCAGCAATTTGGGGGGACTAATGCTATTGCATACTATCCTAGTATGCTAGGTCCATTTTTGAGGCAGTTGGTAATCAACTTTAATCATCACCTTCATCAGGTCATCAACAGATCCAGTTTTCCCTAATGAAAATTGACACTCTTTATGGATTAATTGTAAGGTGATTTTGACTTTTTAGATGTAATTTGCATTTTTTTTATTTGATTTGGATTTATCGTAAGGTAATTTAGAATTTTTAGATGTAACTTTAATTTTCTGGAATTAATTTTGAGTTTTTCGAATTAATTAGGAATTTTGTTATAGGAATTTGGACTAACTTAAATTTTTTGGAATTAGTTGGAATTTTTGTAATCAAACTTTTATTTTTTGAATTAGTTTAAATAATTTATTTATTTAATATAGATTATTTTTGTTATGAACTCATTTAAATTTTCTAGTATAGACTTGCAATTTTTTGAAATTTAATTTGATATTAAATAATTAAGTGGGCTAATATTGTATAAAAAGAATTCGGGCCGACCCTATGGCCCGACCCGACCCAGCCCAGCCCGACCCGACAGGGCCATACAGGGCCAAATGAGAATAGGGTCGGGCCGGGTCGGGTCGGGCCAAATATTTGAACATATAGGGCTGGGTTTTTTTGGGTAGTGACAGGGTCAGGGCTGGGTTTGGCCCAGTTTCACCCCTACACTTACAGACTTCGGCCACTACACATAATATGTATTTATAACCCTTTTACTTGAATCATCAAGGTTATACGGCGGACTTCACCAACTGGATAATTACCCCTTACTACTCACTTTTACCAATAGGACACAATCAAGCACAACTTTATACTTGATCTACACGTGTTTCCTACAACACTGGAAATGGAAGAGAATGCTAGAGTTGGTCTTAAAGCAATTGCTCGTCTTACCACTGCCATTAAGAGCAATCAGACAGTTGATGCGCAAAACCCTGCAACTATTTTTGGAGCAGATCTAGTGCATAATTTATAGGTGTACAATTATGAATAACCTAAATTTTAATGAGCTATATCATTTGTTTTAAGCCGAAATTAAAAAAATTGCAAAAAATTATATTAATTGTGCTTTTAAAAAAAAATTGATACTTTTATTAACAGTCTATACCATGTGGTACCACTTAGTATGTACATAAAATTATATTACGTGGTATGAATATACCATAATATAGAATGATTGTATACATGATAGTAGAAATAATGTTAACATACATGTACCAAACAGAGAGAGTGTGGAAGGGGCTCAGAAGACGGTCGATGTGGCCAAACAAATTAAAAGGGATGTGATTCGTCGCCAATCCCTCCCGTAAAACATCCTGCCAATGGAAGTAAAATTGATTCAATTAGAGAATGGATAATTATTGCAGAGAGTTCAATATCAAAAGACTAAAATTGATCGGAAGCGTTATGCTACCAATGGAGATGATGATAAGCTAAGATAACAATTAATAAATCAACCGAACCTCATATTCAAAATAAAAATCTAGTTTCTAATGGAGATTACTAAGTTTAAACAAATCATAGCGGCTACAAAGCGAGTTACACAACTTAATCATTTTCTTAGCAATCAAACAGCTCGCACCGTTGATGAATTCAAATCGAAGTGCTGAACTATAAATTGAAAACTAGTTTGTTATATGTGTTTTGGCGGCGATAATAAACTAATTCTATGTCTTAATCATTACAAAAGACATTCATTACAAGTTTTTTTAAGTGATATATAAAAAAATAACTATCCGCCCATAAGCTCTATACATTGTATCAGCAGCTACGTAACAGTCATAGTGTAGTGTTACACATATCTTTCGGTGATCTAATTATAAGATAAAGTTAATAAAAATATTGCATTTGATTAAACTGTAACGCGAATAATAAAGAGTTTATAGTAGATTTGGGAGCTATATTATATAAATTTTATAGAATCGCGTTACACAAATCTTTCGTACTGTGTGGCTTAATAATGAGTCATGTTAAAAAAAGTATCAAATTTGATTAATTCTTTGTGTAAAAAACAATTTGCCCTACAGAAAGTGTAATTCAAATAATGAAATCAAATTGTTATGTAAAAAATAATTACCCTAGAGAATCTTAGAGTAATGCCAATAAAGAGATAATTGTAGAATAGTGTTACACAAATCTTTCATATTATGTGATAGTGTTACCCAAAAATTTCATATTATGTGATCTAGTGATAAGTGTTTATGATGCGCCCCTTGTTATTATGCTTGCGCCTTTAATTAAATAATGAGAAATTTTACAATGCTATATAGTATTGGTGTTATAGAATTTTGTCTTTATGGTACAACTTAAAATTGTATATTTAAGTTATGACACAAATTCAAATTGTACCTATACTTTTTGTACAAATTCTTTTATGGTACAACTTGAACTTGTACCTTTATGTGATGGTACAACTTCAAGTTGTAAAGTTGTACCATAATATAATGATACAAATTGCTTTATGGTACAACCTAAACTTATACATTTAATGTTATGGTACAACTTTAAGTTGTACATTAAAGCACCAATACTATATAGCATTGTAGAAGTGCTCTTCAATAATACGTCGTTACATAATTACTAAGAAAATTACGATAAGGAAATATAACATTTCATTAACCTGTTGTATAATTGGATGTATACCTTGTGAATAGTAACTATGAATGATTAAACAAATTATTTCCTATAATTTCGTAAGGAATAGTGTGTTCCTTGTTATTATGCTTGCTCCTTTAATATATTAAGTAATTAATTCATTTGAGGGAGTTAGAGACAGGAGAGAGCTTATAAGTAGAAGAGTCGGATTGAATACAGAATTGTTAATGAGAATTCAATCAGCTTTGTTTAGGGGAAATTGTCACAATACAACTTTATTTCTTGTTTTGGCATTGCAGATGACTGAATATTTAGATATTCTATACCATCATGGTGGAGACATGGACTTCTCGGGTTTGGAACTACGATATGTTGGTGGTTTTTCAGAGAAGATGTCGATGGATATTGATGAAGTGTCGTACTTCGAACTTTTTTTAAGTGTCAACTAACGGTCAAACAGACAGAAAGTTGACGTTTTGGATACTAGATTGTTTTCGAAAAGGTTTGGCTATTATATTGTTTAAAATAAAAGGTTTGGATATTAAATTGTATTTACCCTTAAAATAATACATATTTTGTAAAAGCACATTCTCAATGAAATGCTATGGTAAGTATTGAGCTCAATGATTTTCAAATTAAATATTTTTTGTATTAATTTTCTTATTTTGATACAAATATAATATAATCTCATCCTAGATTCGAATCTCAGTAACAACGCTTGTTTCCCCTTTCCCATCTCTCTAGTAGCATCCCTCGTGAAGATGTCCCGATAAAAATAAATATTTAACATTTAGTATGTGCCCCGATAAAATCATTTTTAACATAAAAAATATTCTAATTTCTAACATTATTACATGAATTCTTACAATAAATTCTTGGTACTGTACATTAGATATGTGGGATTGTCAAACTATCTAACCTTATCACCAAGTATAACTAACAATGTAAACTATAATTTGACTCATCAAGCGGTCAATGCACAATTAAATAAATAATGTAATCTGAAAATTTGAGGAAAAAGAACTAACAATCAACATTTTATACATAAACTTGATAAGTGAAAATTGTAAGGTCTGTAGAGGTGGCCAAGGAATATATTTTACAACTATGTGTAACTCATACAAATATGAAGAAAAATAATGTACGGCAACATTATTTGCTTGCATTAGTTAGTATTATATTAAAGCAACACATCCTTAAAATAACATTTTTCTTACACAAATTATCAAAATTCATTCATTTATCCTTTATATACAACATATATTATAATTTTCACGTTGATGTGAATGTGATTGTTTTTACTTCATATGAAAACCACCTGTCATCCCAAATTACCAAAAGCCTACAAATTAAAATGGAAAAAGAATGATCAAAGAAAAAAGATAGTAGAGGTAGCCAAGTGGCATCCTTCCTGTTCAACGTGTACAACATGCATATATTTACTGCATCCCTGATTATATATAGTATAAGAATCCTCATTAATTATAATATGGAAGGTCCTTCAAATTCTCACTCTCTGTCCAGCCCTCATTATCTAGCTTCTCTTCTCACCCATCCTCGGCCTTATTCACTCATTCAGCTCCAACGTGCTACCCTAATGTACGTTCAATTAGATGCTTGTTCAAGTAGAAGGACAAAGTTGGAGAGATAAAAAGATGTCAACCGCTATTGATATGCACCTTCAGCTCCAATCAAGAAACTTCGAAGGGAATGCCATGGCGCCAACGGTGACGAAGTAACGGCGATTGATGCAGCCGAACCAGCCCCGGCCAATCCATCGGCTCTAAATGCTAGTTGAAGTAGAAGGACAGGGTTGGACAAATAGAAGAATGTCAACAATCCACATTCACCTAACTGCCATTGAATCAAATCGAAACTAGTTTTTGACCCTACCGTTGGGCGCCACATTCTGATTGATTATTTTATTTTTTCTAGTATTTTATGTTTGTATGATTTATTTATGTTAAACTATTATACATTCAATTATTAATCTGACTTACCAAATTTCATGTATTGTTTCACACTTGTAAATCTTTTGTTTATTTATAAAAAATTAATTTTATTACATAAGCTCCTTATAGAACTTTCTTTAGTGATTTATAATTTTGTATCGAATTCACAATTCAAAATATAAACATAAGGAATTAATAATTTTTTTTTGCGTTAAATAGTGATTAAAATTAAAGACTTAAAGGTCACAAAAGAAGTTAAAATAAGAAAATATGTTCAATTAATGAAAAATAAAGAAGAAATTTTCATTTCCATCTTCAATATGTTGTTATATGATAATAGCGACTATTACGATGTAGATCCCACGAATATCGTGCAGTATCAGTTACTCGTGCAATTTTGGAAAAAAGAGGAAACACATTGGCATCCACATCATCAATCTTCCATTTATTCGATTAATATAGCTTGAAATGTATAGCAAAACCAACCACAAATAGAACTTAGTTGTCACTAATTTATTAAAATGATATTTTAGTAAACTAAATTACATATAAACATAATTTATATTTTGTAGAGAGCTACACACCCCTGCAAAAAATAATGGTGTTTTTTTACCTAATAACAACATAGACGAATAGTAAAAGTTGGATACTTCAATAAACCTCAATTAATTATAACTTTAGAGTCCCCATTCGTGAAGCGGATTGATGCTTCAATCCAAATAATAGTCGTTAGAGAAG